GCTGCCATGACCTTGGCTGCGCTGCTCCGTATGGGCCATGCTCGGGGGTGACTTTCCTTCAGGGGGGCTGCTGGAGAGGAGGGGGTCACAGGGGGAGGCAAGGCTGGGGCAATGGCACGTGTGCCCACAGAGAGGGCTCTGAGTGCTGCCCCTGGCACCCGTGCCATAGGTTTGCCACCACTAGGCTAGCTACTTTTTCATCATTGACTTTTTAAGCATCTGTCACAGGGTTCCCCAACTGAGTGGCTGCTCCGTGTGGGCCACGCTCGGGGGTGACTCTCCTTCAGGGGGGCTGCTGGAGAGGAGGGGGTCACAGAGAGGGCGCTGAGTGCCGCCCCTGGCACCCGTGCCATAGGTTCGCCACCACTAGGCTAGCTACTTTTTCATCATTGACTTTTTAAGCATCTGTCACAGGGTTCCCCAACTTAGTGGCTGCTCCGTGTGGGCCACGCTCAGGGGTGACTCTCCTTCAGGGGGGCTGCTGGAGAGGAGGGGGTCACAGAGAGGGCTCTGAGTACCACCCCTGGCACCCGTGCCATAGGTTCGCCACCACTGGGCTAGCTACTTTTTCATCATTGACTTTTTAAGCATCTGTCACAGGGTTCCCCAACTTGGTGGCTCTGCTCATGCTCACTGGGCCTTGCACAGGCAAAGTGAGAATGTTTGCAAAAGTCATTTCCTGCTTGCCTGGGAAGGCAGCAGCTGCTTTGCACAGGTAAAGAGGGAAGCCAAGCACAGATTTTAGCAGTGCTCCCCCTTTGCCTGTGCAAGTTTGACCAGCTTTATTGTTTTCAGTTTTAATGTGATTCTTTTCTAATACCTCCCGGTAGAATCTAATGCACACAGAACATCCCAGTATGATGAGAAAGCAGCCAAAGTTGTTTGTAAGCCATGGTTGGTCACTTTTTTTTTAATGGGGGGAGGGGGGATGTTTCTTTAAGTAAACCATGTCGTAGTAAAATGTATAAACTCAGTCTTAATGTATCACATTTTGGGGGTGCCATATTGAGGGAGGCTTATATTATTTGGAGAAAGAAAGGAAATTCAGGATTAAGGGGGAAAAAAGTCATATCATGTAGGGAGAAGTCTTCCTGAAGATCTTCACAAGAGGGTAAATTGGACAGTAGCTTCAACTGGTTAATTTGCTTGGATCCTTTTCAAAAAGAGGAATAGATACTTGCTGATCTTTTCCCGTTTCTCATGTACTTTCATTGTTTGTGCAAACACTTAATCTCCCCTTCCTGTTCTCACAGATCTCTGCTGTTGGTAGAGGAAGCTTGGAGCTCTCTAGAGTAGACTCCTTTGGGATCGACCTCCCTTTACTCCCAGCCTAACCAAGAAATTTGGCAGGTCTTTTCACCCAAGAATATAGTATTGGATCCAAGTTTCCCAAACCTCATTACCACTGATTGCTTCTTTAAATGGGAAACATGCAGCATGAAAGAACAATTCAAGGACCACATTTTGGAAGACATAGGCTCTGCCTCCAAGTAGTTTTCTGTCCCCCAACCTTGTTCTTTTTTTCTATTTGTCAGTATTATATTTTAATTGAAATTTGGTTGGTTAGTTTTCTTTGGTTTGTTACAAGCTGCTCAAAGTTGGGCAGCCATATAACTTCTTTAAAATAAATATAATTAATGCTATCCCAAATAAAAAGTAAATTAATTAAAAGTCACAAAAACAACAGCTGAAATTATCGTTCTACCCACTTAGAAGATTTAGCTGAAGTGTAAAGTCTTGATTTTCTTCCTGGTGCAATGCCCAAGAAAATGCATTTCATAGTCTGGGCTCTTACCTGCACTGAGACATTCTCTTACATGGATTGTATTGCAATACAATCTAGTGTTGCCATATTGTAATATCTTGCAATACTTTGATGGTGTTATTAAGATTCTCTGCAGTGGGGCAAACCATCCTTCAGTGATTAGGAGCTTTAGGTCATTCACTGTTTTTTTAACCCAATGTCCCTCACAGGGACTGTCTTTCAGCGACACTGAATGCCTCTTAGTGCTAACTACTGCTAACGTTGGATGTTTTGCTTTGACAACAGTTGGAGATGCAACCATTTTCTTCTTATGTTTTACTCTTAGAGTTAGAGTTAGATGATGCTGGGGGGGAGGAATGTGCATGAGAGTTTTAGCTAGACATAACAATACTGGACCTAGTGTGTGAACCAAGGTTATTGAAATAAGAGATGATAAGAATTGGTGGGCTGGAGAACTGGAGGGAAAGCCTGCATTTCAAACTAATTGGAGAATGTGATTTATGACAGTTAATTGGAGGAGGGAATTATGCTTTGATACTATGTGCTCAGGGGAGGGGAATTCAGTTTTTGGCTTCGATTATGTTAGTGCCAACCCTATGCTTCTCTAATAAAGATTCTTTAAGGTAAACAATGCCTCAAAGTTCTTTGAAGAGTTTCATCTGTCGGAACCATGACACTTAGGCTGTTAGAGGAAAGGAAGGATATTAGGCTAACATAAGTTATATTTATGCAATATTTACTGTAACACTGGAGGAGAGCAATATCTGAGTTCCTCATAAAATTACATAACAGAGCAATGAAAGATGTATCTGGAATTTCCCTAAACAATTGTTAGAAAGCACTCTCCAAGCAACTAGGGAGCCAGCTTGATCTTGTGATTAAGGCACGAGGCTAGAAAGTGGGAGCCTTAGCCATGAAAACCAGCTGGGTGATTTGGGGCCAGTCATTGTCTCTCAGCCCAATTCACCTCACAGGGTTGTTGTTGTGGGGAAAATAGGAGAAGGGAGGTTATGTTGGATATGTTTGCCACTTTGATTTATTTGCAAATATAATAAAGGTAGAATACAAATAAACAAACAAACAAACAGCAGGATTTACTTCTCAATAAATGCCTATTCCAAATTTCTTTAGCAGAACATTCTCCAGATCTTTTCAGACCTCAATAGCTCAAGTTACCAGATAATAAACATTTTCACCATTTTGGCTGGGAATTGCCACATTTGGAGAATGCCAAGTTGCAGAAGGCTAACATCTAGGGTGGGACTGTGAATCTTTTAATAAAAATAAATAAATCCATATTAAATGTATGTGCAGAATAACTGCATTATTGATTAATGTTTAAGGCCTTTCAAAGCTCAAGGCCTAGTTCTCTGCAGGACTGCCTTATTCAATGATACCTAACATCTGATTAGATCTAGGACAGGGGTAGGCAACCTTGGCTCTTTTATGACTCATGGACTTCAACTCCCAGAATTCCTAAGCCAGCTGGCTCAGGAATTCTGGGAGTTGAAGTCCACGAGTCATAAAAGAGCCAATGTTGCCTACCCCTGATCTAGGACATCAGACTTACCACAGGTCTTAAGGTTAATATGTATCAGCTTCCCTAGGTAGCTCAGACAGGAAATTTGATCAGATGAGCTCCTTCTAATTTATTGTAAAGCTACATAAACAGAATCTTGCAAGTCTAAAAGTACAATCTCCCACCCTCTCCTTTACAGCCTCTCCTTTACAGCCTGAGAACTTGGGCTGTTTCCCAAGGCAATATCTCTTTCGCCATCTTCCATTTCCACATAACCTCACAACATGTCATCTTGTGGACCTCGGAAATGGGCTCTTTGTATGTGGGCCCCTCCCCTACTAGTCTATGTGATTGAATCTTCTCCAAAATCTAAATAGCTTTGGCCCTTTTTGTTTGTTTGTCTGTTTAGAGAAGCCTTTAAAATCTTTCTTTTTTAGCAGGCCTTTCGCTACAGTGATTTTGGATTTTATTCCTTGGGGCTTGTTGTTTTCTTCCCTGATAAACAGAGATTGGCAGTTGTTGATGCTTGTCGTTGTTTTCTACTTATTTCACTGTTTTAACATATTGTATGCAGCCTAGACTCGCTTAGATCAGCATTTTTCAACTTTGGCAGTTTTCAAATGCGTTCTGAAAGCTGCCAAGATTGAGAAATACTGATTTACATTATTGTGATAGTTTACAAAATGAAGAAATGTTTTTGAGCTAGAAGGCAGAACTTGGCTTAGCAATGCAGCTTGTTGGGAAATCCTTGGGCAAGTCTCCCTCTCTCCGCCCTACAGCTACCCCATCGCTCAGCATGATAATATTCAACCATTTGGAGGGCTGATGGGGAGCTGTCTAGAGACATCTCTTAGCCTTCCGCAAAGAGTCAAAACTTGGCTGGAGGGCCGTGCTTGAGGGATACAGAGGCCCACACAACCATGGGGCAGGCTGACCCCAGGACACCTTCTCCCCCCCCCCACTTATTAACAACTGCTAATCCTCCATCTTGGAATTCCTCACCTTTTGAAATCTTAAATTAAGTCAGAGTTTAATGTTAATTTTATTAATTATATTGTCTATGAAGATTCTCAGTCCTCCAGGCCCTGGTTGTCCCAAAGGTGTTTTTTCAGGAGGCACCTGGACTTTCTTGTTTTTCTCATCCAAGAAGCTCCTTCAGCTCTGACTGGATGGTGGTGGTCCTTCCATTCCCCACCTTCCAGTCAGAGCTGAAGAAGCTTCTTGGATGAGAAGCGAAATGTCTTCAAAGAAAAACAAGAAAGTCCAGTTGCCTCCTAAAACAGCATCTCTGGGATATTAATTATATTGTACACTGCCCAGAGCGGTTAAGAATTAGGAAATTAGAAAATAGTTACGTGCATGCATGCATACATACATACATACATGCATACATACATGCATCCATAAATACACACACCAAGTTTTTAAAGCAACATTTCCATAAAGTATCACATAAACGTTTATTAGGAATAAAGTCATTTCTCGATCGGAGCAGCTGGTGTTCGCATTCTCCTCCTCCTCTTCTATGTCACAATCTTTTGGCGACGCTACATTAGTAACCATTCCGAGAAATGCCCCCCTTCCCCCCCCCCCAAAAAAGGAGCCGCTTTCGGGAGCCAATGCGCGCGCGCGCAAACCCGAGATTCGGCGTTTCGCCGCCCCTGCTGGCCTCCGTTCCCTTTGCTTTCCCGGAAAAGCGATGCGAGCGAAACTGTCATCGAGGGGTACCGCCCGCCGCTGCCTGGCCTCGGGAGAGGGAAGCTGACGCGGGGAACGAAAGGGTTTTCTTCCTGCGGCAGCTGCCGAGCGAGAACTGCAAGCTTAGAGAAGGGAAGAAGCGACTCTCTGGCGGGTGAGCATCTCCATCCCGGCTACTTCTGGACCGGCGTTATGTTTTCCCGTGGGCGGAAGGAGCGGGCGTGGTGAAACCAAGAAACGACGCGGGGGATCAGAGAGCCGCGTTGCTTCCTGCGGGCGAAGCCAAGTCAGAGCACGGACCTAACATTCAGTTATGATCTTCTTGGCTAGATTTTTATTAGCGGCAGTGTAGTGGAGAAAGAGTAGGGATTTCAGCTGTCCTCTTCTTCAGAGGAGACAGCAAGCGCAGAGCCCCCCCCCCTCCCCCGTGGTATTGGGATCGAAGTTGGACAGGAAAGGGTTCCGCGTTCTGCACACTACCTTCGAGACCGCCTTCTGCCACAGATTACCTCCCATCGGCCTGTACACTCCCACAGGGTGGGTCTCCTCAGGGTGCCGTCGGCCAGACAGTGCCGGCTGGCGACCCCAAGGGGGAGGGCCTTCTCTGTGGGAGCTCCCACCCTCTGGAATGAGCTGCCCCCAGAGATCAGGGTGATCCCTGATCTCCCTTCCTTCCNAATAATAATAATAATAATAATAATAATAATAATAATAATAATAATAATAATAGTGTCCAGAATGGAATTTCATTAATTTGGCAATTTGTCCTCAAAAGGTGGACTTTTGCAGCAGTGTTGTTCGTAAATTGATTATTAAAAATCTGGCCTCAGTAGTTGTGCTTTGGGAGAGCCAAGGTAGATGAGATCCCGTCCGCAGATGTGATTGGCTTTTAAAAAGTAAATAGCGGGTGTACAGATCGATTCCGCTTTGGAGCATTGGTGTGGTCCTCTATCCCCGTACACAGGCTAACCATCTGGATTGGGCCTTGCTGTTTGCTTTGAAAAGTCCATTAACGTAGTTGCTCTTTGCGTTAATCTCATCTCTTCCAGGTCAACTCTATGGTTCTGCAACATTTCCAGTTATATGCTGCCATTTTCATTTCCTTTCAGTTAGACTACACTAGACTAGACTAGAGCTGGAAGGGACCTTGGAGGTCTTCTAGTCCAGCCCCCTGCTCAAGCAGAAGAATCTGTACAATTTTAGATAAGTGACTATCTAGTCTCATCTTAAAAACCTCCAGTGATGGAGCGCCCACGATTTTTGAAGGCAAGCTGTTCCACTGGTTAATTGTCCTCACTGTTAGGAAGTTTCTCCTTAATTCCAGGTTGCTTCTCTCTTTGGTCAGTTTCCAACCATTGTTTCTTGTCTTGCCCTCTGGTGCCTTGGAGAGTAATTTGACCCCCTCTTCTTTGTGGCAGCCCCTCAAATACTGGAATACTGCTTTCACATCACCCCTATTTCATCTTTTCTTTAGACTAGGCCAAACCCAAATCCTGCAGCCGTTCTTCATATGTTTTAGTCTCCAGGCCTTTGATCATGAATTAAGCAACTCACATACATGATGAACAGGTTGACTGGAGTGTTTTTCCTTAATACCAAAAATGAAACATGAAATGTCTGTGGAGATGGTGAAATCAATTCCTAAAGAGGAAGAAATAGAAAATGTTCTTTCTAAAAACTTGTTTTGCTTTATCATCAATAAGAGGGCCAGGAAATACACTGTTGTTCTCTTAACTGCTAAAAAGCTTCCAGATGGAGGGCTTCTGAATGATGACATGAATGAGGTGGGTCAGTTACACATGAAAAATAATGAAATATGGAAACCTTCTGGATTAGTATGAATGCAGTAAAAATTACACAATAATTGACTGGAAACATCATAAATACAGGCTGGATTCCTACATTTCATTAAGCCAAAATGGGAATCATTTAGCTTGAGCTTAGCTTGCTGTCTGAGCCCACCAAATTGCCCCTTATTCAATACAGGTAGTTCTTGACATTTGACCAGTTAAAATTAGAACTTTTGTTGCTAAATGATGTCATAAAGTGAGTAACGTCCTGTTTTACAACCTTTTTTGCCATGGTTGTTAAGCGATACACATGGTTATATGAACGAGGTGGATGAATTACACATGGAAAATAATGAAATATGGAAACCCTTTGGTTTCCTATGAATGCAGTAAGAAATTGTACAATAAAACCTTTGATTGGAAGCGCCAATCACTCCTAAAAGTAATCAACTTGTGATCAGATTTGGAATTTGCTACTATGGTTTAATGAAGTTAGTGTTTCTTTGTTAGAGGTAGAGTCTTGGTGGCAAAACTGAAGTGGCTTATTAAGTTGGATGCCAGTTCAGCCCTGGACCTACCACTCTTCTTCACTCTGTTAATGACTTTGGTAAATAGGTAGCAGAAATGCTTACCACATTTGTAAATGATACAAAAATTAATATACCCCCTCTGAGAAAAACTGAAAATGATCTGGGTAAAGTTAGATAAATGGGCTAAAATTAACAACATTGTATTTAATGAGTGTAAAATTCTCGGAAATAGAAATCAAACCAACAGAGGTAGGATGGGAGGATATTAGGCTTGGTAACAGTATTGGTGAAAAATTTCCTGGAATACTAATTGATTGGAATCTGAGCCAGTTTGTTCTAGTGGTTAAGGCACCAGGCTAGAAAGTAGTATGATGTATCAAATATAATGGGAAAACAATTCCACTATTTTTTGAAATGGTCAGATTCATTTTAAATATGGGTTCACCCAGATTCTTATAAACTGGAACACATTCATTTTGGCTCTTGGTAACTATGCATTTTGTTTTCTTCAGAAATGGCCAGCACTGTGACAGAGCATGGAAATGTGAGGATCATCACTCAAACAGTCCCACAGACAGGCTCTGTGCCAACACCGGCAGCTACAGTCAGAGTGGTTGACTCTGCTTCCGGGGCATCTCAGTTTGCACTAACCCATAACAAAAAGATCAAGAATACTCTGCTCAATGTGATTGGGGTAAGGCCCTCTAGATTTATCCAACTAAGCCCAAATTCTGTGAAGGCCTCCACATTTCTCTGTGTGAGACAATTCAGATCCTCAATGCTGTTCAAGTAAGACTTTTTAACAAATGGAATTATAAGTAGAATCACAGACTCTTTTCATTTTTAAATAATTATGCTAGTGTCTGAAAGGTACACTAAATTTTAGTTCCTTATGTAGAGGGAGAGCATGGTTTAATCCTTCCTCTCTCCATTCCTGAATTCTATCGTAGTAGAACTTATTACCTGGACTGCTACCATCCACATTTTTTGCCTAATCCCTAAATAAGAAGCTCGTACTCCAAAGATATTACAGCTATTTTTGTGTTAATATGCTTTTAGCAGATAGTTTTGCTACTGTATTACTTCTATTGGGATTGTTGGTAACCAGATACAGTATAGAAGAATAACCTTGGATTCCTCACAAACCTATAAAAATCTTTGGTTTTGGACAGCCTTGAAGACAAACTCCTACTTTTTAGCATGGCATCCCTAAAAAATTTAGTATTGCAAGGCCCCTCTTAATGGCTTGGTTTTTCCTTAACCAATGCTCAAAGTCCACTCTATGTTTCTTTTTTAAAAAGTGAGGATTATATTTAAAAAAAGGAAAGCCAAAGGAGGAGGGGGCAGCACAAGGAGGGCACTGGATGATCTCTCTCCAGCTACAGCCCCTGCAAATCATCTTGAATCTATGCTGAAATCCCAAGAACATATTTAAATTCACCATTTAGTTGAAATGATGGTAGTGATTTTATTTATAATTCTGAGTTGATTTTCGTCTCCCCCCACTCCCCATTGCTTAATATTTCTGTCTTATCCAAAATACTCTTTCCAATAGAGGAAAAACTTGATTTCGTAGGATATTTCTCATTAAAACTTTTGACATTGGGGATCGCATAGTACAAAATATACCTTGGGTCTGTTAAATGGTGATGTTGATGCTTTAGATATCTAAATACATTGCTTGCACCCTCTTTCTTTTTTCCTTCAGATCATGCAGATTGCTTTTGGGGTTACCCACGTGAGCTTTGGCATTGCCCTGACAGCAGCTCAAAAAAGCTTCAGCGTCACTGTGCAAAGTGGCATTTACTTCTGGATTGGGGTCCTGGTAAGCAAACTTTTTGAGGGGCACAAAGGTTTACCCATCTTCAGTCTATAGAAGCTTCTGTAGGGTTCTATATAGTTTCAGAATCAGGGAGAGATCTAGCAACCCCCCCTCCCAAGTAGACAATATATTTGTTCAGCACAAACTTTTCCTGACACCTTTTTCCCCCCAACTTGATGCTTTCCAGATATCTTTGAATTCAGCTCTCATAATATCAGTGTTGGTTAGAAAATAGTGAAGTTAAAATCCAATGCAAGCCAAAGACATCAGGTTAAGGGATACTTTTTTTCACATAGAGGACTTTTTAAGTTTCTGAGCGTATTACGTTTCTGAGCAAATTCAACTGGCATGCCTTAACCTACTCCTAAGGGAAACTGGAATAGGCCTTTTCTCATCTTTTAGTTGCCTTCAATTCTTAGTGCTTGAATAAGGAAGAGGGATGTAAATTTAATTTATAAATGTTTAATTTGATTCTAGGAGCACTGGTTCTACAATGTAAAATAGGCTTGCCCTCATAACCTGCTATTTGTTTTTCTTTGCTTCTGTAGCTCTTGATCACTGGGTCTTTGTTGGTAGAAGTTGAGAAAAGACAATCTGTTCAACTAGTAAGTATATCCCCAGATTTATCAGTCTGGCTTTGTTTTTCCTCACTCAGGTAAAGCTACCGTAGAATGGTGGCCAAGGTAAATTTCAGTACTTGAACAAAAAAATGCTGAATTATAATAATGTATAGGAAAAAGAGAAGGAGGTTTACATCATGAAAGCAAGACAAAAGTGCTCACAATAGATAATAAAAGAAACTATAGGTAGTGTAATTTGGAGTTTATAGGCAGGTGCAGAGCCATTTCTCATGGCCAAATTAAAGTATTTTCCATCAATTCTTGAACTGGCAGAAAATTATGCTAGCATAAAATTTGCTATCCCCAAAACGTCATCCTGCAGAGATACAAAACTAGCAAATTGTGCTCTTTATCTATGACAAATTGGTGGATTTTGCTCTCACCAAATCACTCTCTTGATGACATGGGATGACAAGGAGGAGGAGGAGGAGGAGGAGGGGGAGGAGGAGGAGAAGAAGAAGACGAAGAAGAAGAAGAAGAAGAAGAAGAAGAAGAAGAAGAAGAAGAAGAAGAAGAAGAAGAAGAAGAAGAAGAAGAAGAAGAAGAAGAAGAAGAAGAAGAAGAAGAAGAAGAAGAAGAGGAAGAGGAAGAGGAGGAGGAGGAGGAGGAGGAGGAGAAGGAGAAGGAGAAGGAGAAGGAGAAGGAGAAGGAGGAGAAGAAGAAAAAGAAGAAAAAGAAGAAAAAGAAGAATGGTTAGCCAGTTTTTAAAAGTTGCTCACAAATGCTTCGCATGGATGCATTCAAAAGGAGTCTGTCAGTTGATATCCGCTGATCATTGGCATTCTTTCTGATTGCTAACAAGCACTGAGGAGAATTGGGCTGTGAAATAGTAGAGAGAGAGAGAGCTGGTTTCACTACTTCACCATGCTGCTCCCATCCACCCTTGCAGCCCACTAATCAGCTGCTGTTTGGGTTGATCCATGTCTCTGGGATAGGGATTAAATTATGATTGCTCCAATGAGCTTATGGATGTATAATTTCTTCCTATTAGTAGAAACCAGGTTGCAGAATTACTGACATGCTATCATTTCACTATTTTAGCTTTTAAGAGGCAAGGAGAGGCAATATGCAGGAGAAAAATAGCCAGATACCAGGTGTGGGAGGGAAAGGGGTGGCATGGGTTATGGAAGATATTGGAGCAGCTCAGGTCAGGAGAAATGCAAGTGGGTGGGCTGGGAAAGGTGTGGGGGGATCCTTCCTCCTTGTTCCTGTTCTGTCCCAGCCTATGTGAGTCCTTGTTAAGCTCACAAGGAGAAACCCCTCTTCCAACAAGCAGGCTGGAACCACAGGAAAAAAACGAATCCCCTTTTATTATTTACAGACCTGAATAAATGTCCAAGTCAAACAAAACACAGTTCACTGAAACTTGATTCCTTAAGACAAACGGTTGCCTTCAGCAACCAGCATCTCCCACACCTTCCCTTTTATTATGCAGCAAGGGGTGTGCCTTCTCCTTTGCCTTTGGAGCCGCCCCATTGCATTCCTCTGCCCGACTCTCTTTTCTTGCTGGCGTTTACATGCATCCTGGATATCTTCCAGCTCTGAGTCATCACTGTCCAACTCAGCCTCCCAGCACAGCTGTGTCTCAGCCTGAGTGCGAGTAGAGGGGCCAGGTTCCTCCTCAGACTGTAAGTCTGGAAGCTCCTCAGAGCCTTCCTCTGATTCTGATGTCACTCCAGGCCCCTCCTCCTCTAATTCCTCTGATTCAGCTGCCAGGTCCACTGGCTGATGAGGAATCACAACAGTTCCTTCCCCTTTCCCATACCAGCTGCTGCCAGAAGAGGGGAAGGGAGCAAAGGGTTGCAAGTCTGGCTGGGAAACTGTCACAGAATATTGAAAATGAAGATCATGTGACTGGAGCAGCAGCCCATCAGTACAGCAGCAGCCAGTAGCACTGAAGCAGCCACAACATTCTCAAATTTCATTTGGGAGACATGAGTCCTATATTTTGGATTCATTCTGTAAGTTAGCCCATTCAAAAATTGTTGCCCTATGATGCACCATTTTGCCTGGTTAAAGGTCATGACGATATAATACTAAGAGTTACACAAGATGTATAACAACTAACATTTATCTAATATATTGATGTAGGTGAAATCTGCTTTCTTTGCCAACTTGATATTTTGTGTCGCTGGATTGATTGCAATAGTCCTACATGGTATTGAGATTGCACAAACTGTTAAAGAAGGAAACCCATGTGACTTGAACCCCAGTCTCTACTGCCGAAATTATCATCAGGTAAATTCCTGACCTCCCTTCATGTGTTCGTAGCTGCAATTGAAATGATTCTGACATAGTAAGATTCAGACCTTAAAAGACTGTTCAACTTGTCTAAATTTAGTATAGATATGAGCCCTGTTCTCCATTATGGGATTTATTTTGTTTTGTTTTGTACTTTTTTCTGTCACTTGCAGAACTACAGATATTTTTAACTGAAAAAAAACACATTGACTGAGTTAACATATTACATAAAGCATGATTTCCCTAATGATTTACCATGATTTGATAAGTAAACTGCAAATAAATACACACAACATTCTAAGAGACAAATTAGTGTTAACAATTCACAGTGGTTGAGTTCACACAGGATACTAAATCAAAATTAAACATTATTTCTCAGTGTAGTGTCTAAATTCAATTACTTTATTCTTTCTATATTGAGAAACTCATGAAATAATTTCTTGAATTTTGATCTATTCAGCCTTCCCATCTTAGGATTTATTTCTTTTCAACAATTCCCTGCGTATCATCTCCCCGAATGCAGCAGTAATTTTTATGAGTATGACTGTGCATGTACTTTAACACAACAACAAAAAAATACACTAGAATTACAAAATGTTCTCTGGTTCATGTACCCATTGCCCAGAACATCTGCAATAATATCAATAGTTTTGCAATTTGAAAAAATGAAATACATGTGTATTTATAGTGGGTCCATAAATAGAAAAACTTGAAGTCATTGTAATTAATCTCTAAAGAAACCAGATGCTTGGATATTTTCTGTGAGAAAATGTTTAGGATTGCTTCACTTGTGTTTCCCTTTTTTAGAATCACTGAAGGCTTATAGGATTTTTTATGTATGTATGTATAAAATAAAGCTTGTTTGCTGCTAGAAACCTTATCTCATACATACCAATGTGTATTCAGATCAACATCACAGGCCTGTGTCTCTCACTTCAGAGGACATAAAAGTCAGTCATGGCAATTGTCCTACCAAGAAAGTCAGCCCATCTTCATATCTGTTATTTTCAAACATGATAAACATCTCGTTTAGGATTATGAGAGCTTCTAGGGGCTAGGAAAAGCAAGGATCTAGTGATATACAACATCTCTGGGTTTTCTTTACTGATATCTGCAATATTAGAATTTGACTGGCTACATTATATTTTGGGTTCTCAAAAAATCCAGTGTGGATAAAATTGAAGGGAAGCCAAATAATTCCTCATTTTGGTGGAAACAACTGAAATGTTAAATTTAAGTAAAATACTAAGTGTTCTGAAGAAGCCACTTTACAGTTTCTAAATTAACTTGAGCAGCTATGTCAGGGGTAGGCAACCTTGGTTCTTTTATGACTCGTGGACTTCAACTCCCAGAATTCCTGAGCCAGCATGGCTCAGCTTGGAAACCTCTCCCTTTCCCCTCAGCATGGTGGCTCAGGAATTCTGGGAGTTGAAGTCCACGAGTCATAAAAGAGCCAAGGTTGCCTACCCCTGAGCTATGTCAACACACATTTTTTTAAAATGTATCTATGTTGGTGGAAAGCCCATCTATGTTTGTAGCAATAGTTCCGTTACAATGATGATATTTTGAATGGTAGGCAATAATTAAGCTGGTTGAAGAATATATTTGAGGCTGTCAAATGGGACAGAGATTAATGGAAGAGGTGCTGACTCCTACTGCCTATTAAAGTCAGGTCTACTTCAGATGGTAGTGAGGTCTCTGACAAGCAGAAAGAGCAGCTTGTCACCTGGAATATGTCTAGCAGGGTGATTAAAAACTGAATTAATGTGTCAATTTCCTTATTACATTATAGTATAACAACACAGAAACTATTATAAGGAAGCACTGTTTTTCTGTCAGATCAGTCTGGAAGAATAATTACGTTGAAGATCTATGCAACAGCGCTGCCTGCACTGTTCAGTCACTAGCTTAAAGAAAAGATCTCATTTGAAGGGAGCGAGGTGCATCTTGATTGTTTACTGTTTCTTCAGTCTTCATCATAAAAATTTGCTCCATAGTTTTGTAGCCAGAATAAAATGGGAAAGCTAGAAATACAAGGAAGAAGTAAAATAAAAAGAAACTAAAAACCCTGGAAAAGCAAAGAAGCCTATTGTGGGCCACTTTGGAGAAAAAGAAGGAACCCTGCCTTTCTTCGCAAGGGAAGGATAAGTAGACTTGGTGAATGAAGCCATTTCATTCCATGCCCACCTTGGCTACTCAAGGAAGGTGGTGCCCTAGGCAAAAGTCTGAAAAAGGTCTTGTCTTGCATGGGAAGGATGAAGCTGAGGCAAGCAAAAGCCCATCCCCTCAGGCTTCCTGGCTGAGGATCACAGTAGGTGACTCCTGTAGCCTTCACCTGTACCCCGCTTTTTATTTCAGAGGAGCTCAGGCAGTACTCCTGAGTTAGGTGGTACAAAAAGAGCAAATAAGCCCCAAGTTATCAACATATACTAAATTAAACTAAGATTATATTAAGTGTAACTAAATTTAAAAAGTAAATAATTAAGTCATATTTGGATTTTAAGTTAGTTAATTGCTCTCCACTTCACTGATATATGATTTCTTGTAGTCCCAAACAACTATAATGATAATGTTTTCAATTCTATGGTTTATGTAACAGAGGAATTTACAGTCAGGTAGAGTGGTGATGATCAGCACAATTGTATGTGATTTTTCCCACAGATTATATTGTATGGCCTGAACTCTGTGTTCATCATCTTTGTGCTTCTTGAAGTATTCTTGGCTGTCATGGCTGTGATTAGGCTCAAGACTCAAAGGCAACAGATCTATCAACCAATGGTGAGGATAAAAACCCAACTAGCTTGTCTATCTTACTTTTGTCTGGGTTACTGATGTAGCAAATGTAGTCTTAAACCAGGAGCTTTGAGGGGTATAGAGGAGAGCCATGTTAATCAAGGAGCTAGATAAACTGTGTTATCAAGGAGAGATCCAATCTAAAAACTAAGGAAAACATTCCTGACAGTGAGAATGATTAATCAGTGGAACAGCTTGTCTCCAGAAGATGTGGGTGCTCCAACACTGGAGGTTATTAAGAAGAGGTTGGACAGCCATGTGACTGAAATGGTATAGGGCAGGGGTAGTCAACCTTGGCTCTTTTATGACTCGTGGACTTCAACTCCCAGAATTCCTGAGCCAGCTAAGCTGGCTTAGGAATTCTGGGAATTGAAGTCCACGAGTCATAAAAGAGCCAAGGTTGACTACCCCTGGTATAGGGTTTCCTGATTGAGCAGAGATTTTGGACTAGAAGACCTCCAAGGTCCCTTCCAACTCTGTTGGAATTCTGTATAATCCGTAGTAGCAGCAAAAAAAAAAAATCAGAAGAGTTTGATAGTATCTTTCCCATCTAACAAATATTATTAAATCCACATCACTCTATATACGTGATGAAGTAGGCCACAGCTCATGAAAGCTTATGCCTTGTAACAAAATTTGTTAGTTGGAAAAGGTGCACCAGAGCTTCCTTCTGGTTTTCAGGATCTGAGGAGTCTCAAATCCTGAACCTCCTTCTGTTACTATTTAGAGATTCCCAAGTGTTCTCTAGGCATTTTGATTCTACTATTTTGGGAGTTATGCAGAAAAATGAACTTGTTATTCTTGAGCAATTAAGTGGTTAAAAGCCTGTATATTTGCTAGATTAATCTTTATTGTGTGTGTTTTCCAGGCATCATGAAGACAAGTGGTTTCTCTCCTCCTGTCGCACCGTGCTGAATATTTACTCTAGCGGCTTCCCTGGCTTAAAGCTATATGAGTGTGAGCTTCCTACCATCTCTTTACATTTTCAGTAAAGCTTCCCTTCCCTTGCTAAATCCCAAAGATCTGTCTCCACCTAGAAATGGAGAACAAGTTTTGTATTGGTTTATTATGAGCTTCTCCTATATACCATAGGAAAGCCACAGGTCTGTCCCAAACACAAGGCCTGTTACACTCCCTGCATTATGAAATATCCTCTGTAGTTTCATCAACTTGCATATCCTGACAAGAACCAATCTTGATGTGTGCTAGGGGTTCTCAGTGTAGATTTTATCATAGCTTTACCATCATTCCCTTTCATTTTTAACTTTTTGAGGTCTTCATGAAGAAGAGACAGATAATCTGCAAGTGATCTCCCCTCCTCCCCTCTCCCCTCCCCCCCCGCAATAAGAGGCCGTTTGTTTGGAATCGCCTAAAATTTGTATATTTTCATCTGTGTGTTTGTATGAGAGAGAGATTTCGCCAAGTAGGCTTTCTGAGTTTTTTTCAACATTTTTCTTTTTTATAAATAACTATTAAAATTTTAAGATGGCAGAAACTATCGAGAACCAATATTAGAATAAAAAGGAAGAAAGAAAAGAAATAAGAACAGAAAAAAACGCAGAAAAATATAATTTCTGATTTTTTTTACAGCAGCTATATATGCTATACAGTATATGCACATTAAGCTTTTACCCTATAGTTACAACACTGTTTACATTTTTTATAACTACTTTCTAATCATCAAAACAATGTATCGTAATTTCATATTTTTTTTAGTTTCACACAAAAGGTCAATAAAGGTTTCCAATCAGCACTGAACTGTACTATAATGAAAGGCACTGATTAGGAGTCAGAAAAATGGTTAGTGTTTGTACTGAAAGCAGGGAGAGCTGTTCTGCTAAATTAATTTATTTTTGTTGCCCTGGGGTTTAGTTTTACTTTAGTTCAGTGATGGCGAAACTTTTAGAGACTGAGTGCCCAAAAACTGGCCCCGCCTCTGCTCCACCCCCTGCCCCGCCCCTGTCCCACTCCCACTCTGCCCCATCCTGCATGCCCGCAGGGCCACTCACCACCTCCAGGGCCCGCCACAGATCGCCCAGGCAGCCCAGCAGCACCATGGCCACGCCCTCTGCCCACGCCCCGCAGCATCAACTGTGCACGATGGGGCATGAGGGCAGAGTCTTGTCTACGCTGCCTGGCTGCCATGTCCTTGGCTATTCTGCTGCGCATGGGCCACGCTCGGGAGCAGCTCTCCTCCAGGGGGGCTGCTGGTGAGGAGGGGGTCACGGGCAGAGGCAAGGCTGGGGCAACGGCATGTGTGCCCACACAGAGGGCTCCGAGTGCTGCCTCTGGCACCCGTGCCATAGGTTCGCCATCACTGCTTTAGTTTATTAAAGATAATAAAAAAGAGAATGGGAAATACGTTATCAACTAATTAGCAGTGATGTGTTGCCTTTAGGAAAAAAGACCATCCCTGCCAAAGGAGGAATCATTCAATTCATGGCACTGAAGCAACCTATCAGGAGCTTGAATTGAATTTCTTAAACCCTGACCACACTGTGACGTCATACAGAATTATTTCCGAAGGCAAAAGAAACAAATGATTATGGGCCAATTTAGGCATTCAGCAAAAAAGGAATTGCCCAAACACTTCTCTTGCCCCACTTTCTGTAGCAAAGGTTTAGTATTTCATCCTCATGAATACATTAAATGGCCCACAGATCCAATATAACCACTCAGATTGATAATGTCTCTTTTGATCAGATGAATTTTTCTGCTGTTTCACAAAGACTTGGTTGTTTTGTCTTCACAAGCTATTCCCATATGAAATGCTTACTTTTTAATTCAATTCAGTTTTAGAGAAACTTTTGTGCCTGCCCATGTTTAAATTTCACAGTTGATATATACAAAGGTAATGCCAGGCCTAAAAACTAAGAACGACACATGGTGATTCTTCCAAGCTGAGTTCTTTAGTATTTCATACTTATAGACAGAATCTTGCCAGACTGAGCAGGCTACTATCTGTATCTACCATACTCTGTGAAAGATTAGGGAAGGGCTGTTTTCGCCCTCTTTCTCTCACACATAATATTTGGACTGAGTTGCCTCTTACACCTCTGGATTGTATCCTTTACCTCCTAGATCTCATGACATCTATTGCAAGTATTTTAATGCAAGTAAAATGACATTATGTTTACAGCTTTTCCTGTAAAGCTGTGAAATGAAGAGCCATTTCACCAAGCAATCTGTGCTTCAACTCAAAATCATCATGAATTTTAGGGGGTTGTGTAGGCCTCTTTCATAATAAGACAGGTCCCAGATGTAGTGCTTGAGTAAACATTGTGAGTGCCTCCATTTCTACTGTTCGTTTTTTTAACATAGTAATGGGTGCTTCTTGTAATGGAAACAAGTGCCTTTAGTTTTCTAAACTATGTAAATATGACTTGCCATGTTCTCATTGATATTTGCATTGAAATAACTATTCTTAACAGTTGCATTAATACTACTTTGGAGAAAGTATGTTAGCATTTGTCTAATTATCAGAAATATTTCTTGTCCTTAATGTAAGTCAATTTTCTAATCCCTTATTAGGATTATTCAAAGATCCAGCTCTGAAAGGAACATGTGCTTGCACTTGTAGCACTCGCTGGGAATACTGTAAATTAAACAATCTTTTCCCAGGTTTATGTATCAGTTATGGAGAGCAGCAGCAAAACACAGCAAAAGATACACTTGCTTTAAGATAGTTCCTAGCAGGTGCTCTGTATATTCTGTATACAGTAATCTCCCGGGCATTTTTGAATTGGGATCTCTATGGAGTCCTATGTTTTTATATACTATTCCTGAATAATTGTATTATACTCAGTGTTTGTATTCAGATTACATAACCAAATACCATTGTGTGAGTAAGTGTGCTAATAAATGTAAGGTAAAAATTTCCTGAGGATTTTTTTTCTCTATGCAAGCTCATGTTCTGATAATTCCTGTTATAGCCAGCAGATCCACAATATGATGAAATCTGGTGTTACAGAATACACCTAATAAATCTTGAGAGGCAATCCATATCCTCTTGTTTCTTCATAGAGACAGCTTTAAGTAAAATAATATCCCAATTATATTAATCATAATAGTTCAAATGTAGAAGAGCAGATATATAAAAGACTCCTTTGTAATGAAGGAGTCTTGTAATGAATCACATTGAACAGAAAATGGACCCTATTTTAAGCCCATTTGAAATCCTAACCCAGGGTAGTAGATGCAGGGCTTACTTGCCTCCATGGTATCTAGATGAACAGGCTATTGATGTTTTTTTTCACATTGCACAGCATCTCCAGCAAGATGTAAGGGGGAAAGAGCTAGAACTTTCAGAGGTTAATTGTAAGCAATTTTCACCTTTATTTGCAAGCTACGTCAACAGGGATTACCTCAAATTAGATTCCAGGTATGGGGTAAATCACAGGTAACATTGACAACTGCTTGTTAGGTTCACATAGCCTGCAGCTTTTGAGGACATTGAGAGGGTATATATAGAGATGAGGCGGTCATCCATTTGTTTAATCCTTGCCCTTCCTAGTTGGCCACTCTAGTTCAGGCATCATGATTAAGACAGGCAACCAATATCTCTGAATGTGGAATATGTTCCTAACTGCTCAAAAGAGGAAGATATAATAAGAATATGAAAATATGTGGAAAAGAGAAGATTTTTTATAATAATTACAGGCCAATTTTAAATCTTCTATTCTTGGGTATGATGATTGAGACTGTAGGAACCCCAAAGTTCTGTATACTGTTTTAACAACTTATGAAAGCATTCAGTATGCTGAAGAAATTTGCTGCTTCTCTACCCCAAGATTGCAACCAGTACCCATTAAATTAGCTTTAATGGAATGAGACAGACACCTTATGTTAACTCAATCATTAAGTTAACATACCAAGGCAGAATATCAGCAGATAACCCAAATCTGCAAAGATGAAGTCAGAAAAGCATAGGCTCAGAATGAACAAAAATTTGCAACAAAAGTCAAAGATAATTTTAAAAAAAAGTTTCAACATATAAATAATAAAAAGTAAAGGAAACAGTCAGTCCACTGAAGAGAGAACATGGCAAGGAAGTAACAGGCAGTAGAGAGAAAGCAGAGCTGCTTAACTCATTCCTTACATCAGTCTTCACATAAAAAGAAACTATAGCCCAACCTATCAAAAACATAACCATAAAAGACGGACTAGAAATAAAAATTAAAATAAGCAAGAAAATGATAAGACAACACCTGTCTGATCTTGATGAATATAAATCACCAGGACCTGACAGATTACATTCCAGAGTTCTGAAGGAGTTGGCAGTTGTTATCTCAGAATAGTTGTACCATATCGTAAGAGCTGGTGTGTTTCCCATCTTCAAAAAAGGGGGAAAAAACAGACCCTGGAAAATAGACCAATCAGCCTAACATTAATACCTGGGAAGATACTGGAAAAGCTCATAAAGAAACAGATCTGCAAACATCTAGAAACAAAATAACTAGAAGCCAGCATGGGTTTGTTAAAAAATCATGCCAAACCAATCTTATTTCTGAGTCTGACAAATCATAACTTGCTGTTCAATGACTCATTCAGGCAATTGCCTCTCCTGTTAGTTAATCTGACCAATTACTTGCAGAGAAGAGCAACAAAGATGATCAGGGGACTGGAGGCTAAAACATATAAAGGTTGCTGGAATTGGGTATGTCTAGTTTAATGAAAAGAAGAACTAGGGGTGACATGATAGCAGTGTTCCAATATCTCAGGGGTTGCCATAAAGAAGAGGGAATCAAGCTATTCTCCAAAGCGCCTGAAGGCAGGACAAGAAGCAATGGATGAAAACTGGTCAAGGAGAGAAGCAACCTAGAACTAAGAAGAAATTCCCTGACAGTTAGAACAATTAACCAGTGGAACAATCTGCCTCCAGAAGTTGTGAATGCTCCAACACTGGAAGTTTTTAAGAAGAGATTAGACAACCATTTGTCTGAAATAGTATAGGGTTTTGTGCCTAAGCAGGGGGTTGGACTAGAAGACCTCCAAGGTCCCTTCCAACTCTGTTATTCTGTTCTGTTCTGTTCTATTTAAATCAATAAGAAACACATTTCTGAAGATTCCCTTCACCAGAAGCATGATTAAAGGTTCTCAAGGAAATGGTATGGAATTTAGTTTCAGTTTTTATTTTGATTGCATTATTTTATATTCTATTTTTAATATATAACTTTAGATTGATATAAACAAAGATAGGTTTAAAATATCAAAAGTAAATTAAATGATACTTCTAGTTATCTTAATAACTTTATTCCAGGGAATTAGACATAATATGTAACAACATAACAAATTCATGCATCTCATAATGTGGATAATGATCCATACAAATTTATACAATTATCAGTTTATTACTCTTTGTGCCACATTATTCTCTGTGCTACGTTTAAGACTGAATGTTTGAAATATTAGAATAGAATATCAAAATGATGTCAAATTCATTTTCTTTTGACAAGTTCACATGTTTCTCACGTATAATACAGAAAACAGGATAATCATACTTGTAGTTTGATCAGATTTGGCAAATTTTCAAAATAAATTTTACATTCTTTGCTTTTTCACACAAATAGCAAATTCCAATGAATTCAAAGACAAATTTCCTATTAAAAACAAATAAGGAAAGTGCTCCTTTCAATAAATGAATTAGTTCAAATTTTAACTTTTAAGTTCAAAGTAGCTTGGCCAAAGCAACAGGAACTGCCTTTTCTTAGACATTTATAGTATTAATGTTATTCAAAATACTGTTTTGCATATATTATATAAATATATAAAAATGCAACAGTAACTATGGCTGAAGCCATCAAACATTGATTGAAGTCTTTAATATGCTTATACTGATTCCCCACAACTGTCTTCCACAGCCAAGAATCAGAAGTGAGAGGTTCAGGGATGACTAGGTATTCCTGGTTTAAGAGTTGACCAAACAAAAATATTTTTTCCCCTAATGGTATATTCCAAATTCAATTAGTAATTAGGAATCAAGTAAGGAAAATGTAACTGCTAAAAGCAGACTTTTAAGTTCAATCAAATGAAAATAAATAACATACACTAAATACAAAGATCATATTAAAGATCATATTAAAGATCATATTAAATGCCCATTAAAATTTGTATTCTTCTATCTAAACAGTCAAACAATGCCTGAAACTTCTCTTATTCTATATGTTTAAATTTCAGGTAGGTTGCTGATGAATGCATTAGTTTCATGGCAAAAGTGGATTTAATTTCTATTCTGTTTTAACTCTTTAAATTAAGGACAATGTGAAAGTTTAAAAGTCTCAAGAGAGATCAGCCCAAATCATATACACCAGGAAGAAAATAAAGGATTGACTTAATCTTATATTAATACTACGTTCTATGTTCTACTATATTGATCTATCTGCTTTTAATGTATTTTAATCAATACTGTGTATTAACTTTGATCGTACTGTCACTGTTTAATTATTAGGTGTTCACCAAAAATATTTCACCATATTTTTCTTTCAAAAAAGGGAGGAAAAATAAGCAACACCCTTATCAAAAATCCTTTATACTTCTAACTCTAGACAATTGTTTTAAAGCCCTGCAAAACAGAAAAAACTTTCAACTATCAGCTTTCATTGAGTTTATAATGGTATTTTTAATGGAGCTTCCCCGACCAAACGCTTTCCAGATGTATCGTTACTACAAAGCCCAGCATGCCCAGCCAGCATGCCTTTCAGAATTCTGGCCCTACTATTCCCAAAATACTTATAGGGTATTTACATTGCGAAGACTGTTGTATTGGATTTTTAACCACTCTTGCCCCGCATATGGATTCCACTAACAAGCAGCGAATACCGGAAGTTCTATTCAAGAACAAGTGAAACTTACCCTCTTTTCTAGCTAAGGAAGAGCTCTAGCTTATGTAACTTATGTAACTTATGTAACTTCCAATGAACACAGCATTCGCGGAGTACTGCCGCAAAGAACGCTATCTCGTTCGTAGATCTGCGCATCCGCGTGCGTCGCATATGGGACGTCATCCGAAAGGGCCCTACTGGAGTCTTCCTCGTGGGGTGGGAGAAGGAGGGAGAGAGAGAGAGAGAGAGAGAGTACTGGGACTCTCTAGCAAAGAGACAGAAAGGAAGGAGATGGCAGCGCTTATCCCCGAGGAGCGGCTGCAAGCCGACCGACTGTCTCCAGAGGCGGAACGGGGTGAGCAACTTCAGCAGCTGGGAAACGAGGAAGGGGCTGTCGCCTTAGTGGAACCTGGATCTGGGAAGCTGCAAGTAACTGCTTTGGGTAAGAAGCGGAAGGAGGCACCACCTATCCCCAAAGGAAAGCCTAAATCTGGGCGGGTATGGAAAGACCCCGGCAAAAAGCGGTAAGAATGCGATCTTGGTCGCCAGGTGATCGGATGTAGCATCTTGGGGAGCAGTAAGAGCGGGTTTCCTGAACATCAGCAACTTTAGTGGACTTCCAACTCCCAGAGTTTCCCAGCAAGGATTCTGGGAGTTGAAGTCCACACATCTTAAAGCTGCTTTGAATTAAAGAGAAATGGGCTGCCGTTTATGTGTATTTCATACCGCTTTGTTAAACAGAAATACTGTGTATTGGTTAGTTTTCCTAGACAGAGTTTATTTTATGCATTTTATATCTATTTGGCATGCACACTAAAATGTTACAAAAATAAAATAAAACATTGATATTCATCCTCAGTTCAAACTGAGTATATTTAGGGTTTATATTGAATAACCAACCTTTGGTGGCACACCCAAATTAAAATCATAGGGTGTTTTTAATATCATTTTTATTTGTTACTAGCTGTACCCGGCCACACATTGCTGTGGGTCAGTCTGGTAAAAGCGTGTGTTGCTTTTACGTCCAACAGATGGCGCTGTTTTTTCAAAAAAAGCATGTTTTTACTTGTCATAGGTGTGACATCTATATAATATAGGTATATAAAAACGCGCGTATTCGAATGCAACGTGTCAAAATTTCAAAGCAATCAGTGAAGAACTTTCGGAGATTTAAGATTTTGAACAAACGAACATTTACATTTTTATTTATATATAAGATGATAATGTTTTTGATGTGCAAAAGTAAGCTTTTGTTTACTTGGAACTCCTTGCCAAGTAAGAGTACGCAGGACTCTTATCATAGATTTGCTTCACACAATATACTAAATATTACTAAGATTGTTTGGTTTAGTTGTAGTTTATGGCTTAGTGTATTGCACCTATCTGAGTATTAGTTATTCAGTAAGGCTTTATTAAGGCACACTATGTCTATCTCACAAGATGATACCATCTAGTGCTGAAGCTAACCTCTTATTTTTAGCTGAGGATGTAAATTTCCCCATCTCCCTAGGTTTTCCCACATGATCCAGGACAAGCCTTTACATACTTCCTGGCAACAGAAAATGAAAATCCGTCAGGAAAAGAAGCTAATCAAAGATTTTGCCCAGGAGTTGAAGGAACAAAAACAAAGAGAGCGTGAGGTAAGTAAAATATGTTTCTCTCAAATTTCTGGAAGCAATATATCCATAATATTATTAAGTAACTATAATGTATCCCCAAGCATCTCTGCCCAGACACCATCTTCACTAATATTTTTTGTCACTCTAATTTAAGTTATGGACTGAATTAGCAGGAAAGGACTAGGCTTTAGTCTGTTGAACTCACACCCTCTGTTCTGACACTGTACAAGAATTGTGAACAAAATTCTTGCTATATCTAATGCATATGCCTTTGTCCTGCAGATTAATATGTTATAGCTATTTTGAATTAGTTTTGTACTTATTTCTTTTATTAAAAATTTAAAATAGGACTGCTACCCTTTTATTCAGGCATACATGCATAACTTTGATGATGCTATTATTTTGTAAAGCAGAATATGAATTTGTGCATATCTTTGCTATTGAATGTTAATAGAGCTTCAGTACTTATATATTAAGAAAGACTGAGGGAAAATGTAATACCAGAGCTTCATGCTTGTTTTATTTATATCATAAACAAAATCACATAATATACAACATGGCCATCCATGGGGGAAAGATGGGGTAAATGACACTTGCATTAGATGTCATGACATAATTTTTGTATTTGATGTTGTTGCTACTCAGATGCTGCTGACATGTGCCAGTCTGAAAAACACCCCCCCAATTCAGTCAATTCAAATAAAAGAATCATTAGGGCCAATTTTCAAGTTCTTTATTAAAAAAAATTGGTGCTGATTTGAGCTACCTTTGTCTTACATAAATGCCACAAATGTTCTGTTCATTACAGTGAAGGTCTCAGCACCTAGATTCTAAAGTCACATCATGTTCTGCTTAAAAGAAACTTCTGAGAACCTCATAAAGTAGTAACTTTTATTCCAGTTTATCTGTCTGTAAAAGTTTGATGAGTGAGAACTTTTCAAGTAATAAGCAACTCAGTAAAACTTTCTTCTGGTATTATATAACTTTTCTACTTAGTATTGAGATTCATTAATAAATTCAGCTTTTGGGTTCATAAAGATGTTTGCATATGCTGTTTTTTCTATCAGTATTTATATTCTGTATTTTTTGAAATTGTTTGGTCTTATTTTTTTGGCTGGGACATATAAGATAGCATGCATGATTTTTTTCCCCCTTTCAGGAGAAAAAACAGCGAAGGAGGGATAACTTAAAAAGAAGACTAGAAAATGAGAGGAAAGCGGAGGTTGTACAAGTGGTGAGTTTTCGATCAAGTTATTTTCATCCAGAAAGAAAACTTCCTTCCTTGGTTGAAGAAGAGTGGAGTGCATTTCATCATTAGTTAATGTTTTACTTAACAAGTTATGCTTCTTCATTGCCATTCAGGAGGAGCATTTTGAAAACTGGAGGCTGAATTATTGATCCAATAACTACACAAATTTTATATCACTCTCTGTTGCCTCAGATGGGAAATCTTTTGGTGGAATGGAACTGCGTTTAATTTTTCTTGGGGAAGGAGAGCATAAGAGCCTCAATATGAGGCGCTGGCAATCCAAAACAAGTAAAATTGTACAATAGTTGTATGTAAATAGATTTTCATAGATGTAAATAGATTTGGGATCAAGATATTGATGTGCTGCTGGTTTTTTGCAGCCATGATTGAAGGACTTTGGCTCTCTCCCTCCCAGCCTGAAGCATTAGGAAGGTGGATAGGATTCTGGAGGTTAAGTTCGTCTCCTGGGCTGAGTTTAAATGGAAAGATGACTTGCTAACTTTACATGTAAATCTGCTTGAACCAAGTTCCTACGTTTTTGCCACAGAGATTCCTTTTGAGAATGAGCCAACATGAGAGATGCATGCTAGGATTTGGACCAAGCCATGAATAGGGGAGCTTCAAAGGCATTTGATAAGATCCATTGTAGAGAACATCTGCCTCTTGAATTGAACTGGTAATGAAAGTGTGTCACTGGAGTTCACCTGGCCATTTCTTTCAATTATCCGGGCTCTGATCCAAGTGTGAAAGCTAGTTCCAGAGTCCAAGCAGACAGCTATGTTTCATTGTTAATACTTTACTACCAAGATTATTCAGAGTTTCATACTATTAGGAGATCATTACCATCAATTTAGCAACATAGGAAAGGCCAAGAGGCATACAAACATGGGAAGTCATACAGCAGTACAAGTGGATCCTCATAGGCAATCTGGTACCATATGAACATGATTGTAAATCCCTATCATTTTTATTAAGGGTCTTATATATTTAAATGATTTTTCTCTGCTTTCTGCATAAAAAGTTAGAAGAAAGGGGAAAAGATGCTTTTTATTTACAATGTCTTATAGTAGCTATTTGGGGTACAGAACGTTTCAGGAAAAGGAAAAATGTGGAGATGATGGGTTGGCTCCCTCTATCCTTGACAAGTGGAATGTCCGTTACCAGATGACAGTTTGTGGATGAAGGAGCTTGTTTGTGGTGATGCAGGCATGTGCCAATCCTACTTCTACATTTTCTTTGTCCTCCTCTTGCGTGTGTAAAGTTCAATCTGTTGCTTTCCTTTGATTTAGGCACCTTTGACAAAGGTTTAATACTCATTCTTTTCTATGGAAAAACTGTGTTTTCTGTTGGAATTTTGTAAACTAGTAGTAGTAACATTCTGGAAACCTCTAGCTTGGTTGATTGCTATTCAAAAAGTTTTTAAGTTTTAGGTATACATGAGATAAGACCAATATTTCTCCTTTTCTTTTCAGATTCGAAATCCCTTAAAACTGAAGCGTGCAAAGAAGAAACATTTGCGGCGTATTGAGAAGCGAGACACGCTGGCCTTGCTGCAGAACACCCAGGCACAACCTAAAGCATCCAAGCAATAAGAGAGCGGAAGTCTCTTTTGTAGCACATTGAAAGACTTCTTGAAATGCACAAGTTGAGACACAGAATCCAGTGTACAAAGAGAGGTTGCTCTATTGGCGTCTCTTGCAATCAGCAAGAGGACCTTCCCTACCCTTCCTGCAAAATATGTTATTGTATCCGAATAATTTCTCTTCTCATAGATTTGGTATTAAAAGAACAAATGTGGGGAGAACAGCTGGGATATTATTACAAAATCTACAGCTTCCGGATGATTTGTAATTTCCAGAACTTATCTTTCTTCTTTAACCATGAGAAGAAAATAATAATTAAAAAAAAACTTGCTTTGAGGAAAAATATATGGTCCCTCAAATCGCTTCATGGGTTATGTTGATTGTGGAGGACTTGGTAAAATCTGGGTAGCTTGGGTTGGGTTTTTTAGTGGAGTTGTCTATGGGATTTTTTTAAAAAAAAAACTGTCAGTGTCTTCCTCTGACTTTCATAATATAACAGAATTGTGATCTTTACTAGACAAAGGACGACATATATTTTAAGCATATATTAAACAAAGGATGATAGATTTCTGGTTCTTGCTCTACGCAGTATGGCAAAATAAAATGCATTTACTCTTGTGTAGCAACCAAAATTGAGCCCAAAAATTTCTGTTGCTAAATGAAATATTTATTAAGTGAGTTTTGCCCCATTTTACTATCTTTCTTGCTGCAGTTGTTAAGTGAATCACTACAGCTGTTTAGTAACACAGTTGTTAAATGAAACTGGCTTCCCCATTGACTATGCCTGCTTACAAAAAGTGATCACATGGCCCCAGGACACTACAACCATTATAAATACATGCCAGTTGCCAAGCATCCGAATTTTGATCACATGATCACGGGGATGCTGCAACGATTATAAGTGTGATAAACATAACTCACTTTTTCAGTGCCATTGTAACTTTGAACAAACACTAAATGAATTGTTGTAAGTAGAAGACTACATTTATAGAGAATGGTGGATGTCACTTGTGTCAGTTTCAATTTACAGCATGGCACATTGGGATTCTTTGGGTAAAATATAAAGACTTTTGGCTGCATTTATATCCAAATATTAATGTTTTCAACATTTTCTGATCTGTGGTGGATGTAACGAAATATGAAGAATGTATACTTAATTAAGGGAAATCTTACTGATGTAGAAATACATTTACAACTAAATCTTTTTATAAGGACTAGACATTTGAGTATTGTGAGAACATGTTATCCATATCACATTCTTCTTTTTTTTTATCCTGCACTTCCTTGTCAGCTATTCTCCATCAAGGAAGCAAAATATTTATTGGGTTATAACCATTGCTGTCTAAAGTTGGGCGTATGAACCTGTTTCTATTCATTTAAAAAACTACAACTAATTGTGGTTGCTTATTTGAATCCATGTATATTGAGGTCTTTAACATATATAAATCATAATGTATAAAATGTGATGTTCCTTCTGGCTTTGCCTATGAGATATGCAGAATTTTCCCTGCAAGTTCTTAAATCAGAATAGTAAAATAATTACTTTCAGGATTGTTCCTTTTACAGGTGGTCCCTGACCATCCAACCATTCGTTTAGTGACTATTCAAAGTTACAACAGCACTGAAAAAAGTGGCATATTTTTCGCACAATCCATTGCAGCAGCATCCCCATAGTCATGTGATCAGAATTTAGAAACTTGGAAGCTGGCATGTATTTATGACAGTTCCGCTGTCCTGGCATCATGGGATCCACCTTTTGCAACCTTCTGACAAGCAAAATCAATGGGGAACCAGATTCACTTAACAACTGTGTTACTAACTTAACAACTGCAGTGATTCACTTTGTGGCAAGACAAAACTCACTTAACTGTCTTGCTTAGCAATGGAAATTTTTGATTCAGTTGTAGTTGTAAATCAAGGACTACCTGTATTGTAGAACGTTAATCACCATAAAGTTATATCTATTTGTGACAATGTTATCTACTGGGCTAACAATACACAAAGGTTTTACACAAACAAAAGGTGCAATGTGAAGGTGATTGCTTTGCGTATCTGAAGTTGTTACACAAAGATTAGACTGTTGACTGAGACTGGCCAAGCTACATATGCATGAATTCATACGTACATAGCATTTTCTATGTATCTGTGCCCCTTTTTTTACTAGAAGAATAAAGATAATGAGAATATCAAAACAAAATGCAGACTATTATACAAGCCTGCTGTTTCCCTGAAGATTAAAATTTAGCATCTGCGTATGGGAGCAAATTTAGTTGTACTTTTCAGACTTTTTAAAAATGAGGTCTAGAAACTTGGGGCCAGTTCATACAAACTATTGGGCTCAAATGATAACTGGTTCTTTTGGCCTCGTATCTCAAGGTACGCCTGAGGAATTTCTTAATATGTTGTAAGAGCAAGAATTACATCCCTTTCATAAGTAAAAAGAAGTATTTGCTTTTTACAAGTAGCTTTTCACAGTTCGGCAACTTCCATGCTGAGTTTTGTTTTGTTAGAGGATAAGCACAGGTAAAGCTGATTGCCCAATTTTCTTTACTAAATGAAAGGAGTTTCTCGGGCAGGTGGATTTGATGCCAATAAGTCGTTCAGCTGGCTTTTATGCCTTAAGGCAGGATTAAAATAAACAGTCTCCTAGGCCAACACCTTCACCACTACGCCAAATTGGCTCTTACACAATAATTATGATCCCGTTCATATTTCAGCATTCTTTCTTGCATTTATAGGTTGTAATGGTATATGGGAATGACCTTGAGGGAGGAGGAGAAGAAATGCTGCCAAGAGCTGTATCGGATAAAAACTGCTTAACAGTCAAGAGAAAGAAACTCAGGAAGAACCTACCCTAAATTGATCAGGCTGTTAAAAAAAAAAAGCCAGTAGGAGATTTGTACTTTTAGAATTGCAAGATTCTGTTAATATAGCCTTACAATAAAGTATAAGTAGTTTGTCTGCTCATATTTCCTATCTGATTTGCCCAGGAGGACTGACTGACTGACTGACTGACCTTGCGAGTGCCTCATTTAGTGACTGTCACAGTTAAGATGGCAATGTTCATTACCCTCACATGTTTGAAAAGCAAAAGAAAGCTGAAACAATATCATCAGCACAGTCACTGTTTCTCTTAATGACCAAGTTACCAGTCCCAATTGTGTAGTCCTGAGCATATCAAAACTATCATAATAATTTCATAGTAATTTCGCATGCCTTTATTTTTAAGGTAGTCCAGAGAATAGCTAAAGAGCTATCACAGGTAGTCCTCAACTTGCAATCTTTCATTTAACAGCCATTCAAAGTTACAATGATGCTGAAAAAAAGTGATTTATGACCAGTTTTCACACTTATGACCAGATTGTCACAGCATCTTCATGGACAAGTTATGTAAATTCAGGTGCTTGTCAACTAACATGTATTTATAACAACTGCAGTAGCCCGGATGATCACCATTTGTGACTTTTCTAGATCAGGGCTTTTTAACCAGTGGTACGCGTAATACTGGTGGTACATTGGCACCTGACAGGTGGTATGCATACGGCGGGTTGAACACTAAAATAAAACTGTAAAAAAAAAAGTAAAAGTGGATGAGGTGAAGTGGTGGCAGTGCCGCACAGGCTTGTGGGAAAGCCAGCTGGAACTGCACAACGCAATGCCTGGGTCCTGCTGAGATCCCAGGATTGGCGCGCACAACTCCAACTGATTGGCAGCGGCCTTGGGGGTGGCAGGCAGCCTCACGCAGTCTTCAGGCAGAGATTCAGCTGGAGCTGCGCAAGGCATTGCCTGGGTCCTGCTGAGGGGGAGAGAAGAGCAGATATAAAGGAGGGAGAGAAGAGAGGATATAAGGGGGGGGGAGAAAAATTTGTTAAATGAGTTTTGCCCCATTTTATGCCACAGTTGTTAAGTGAATCACTGCAGTTGTTAAATTAGTAACGTGGTTAAGTGAATCTGGTTTCTTCACTGACTTTGCTTGTCAGAAGGTTGCAAAAGGATCACATGACCCTCGGACAATGTGACCATCATAAATATGAATCTGTTGCCAGGCATCTGAATGTAAATCACATCACCATGAGGATGCTGCAACCGTCATAAATGTGAAAAATGGTCATGTCACTTTTTTCAATGCCATTGTAACTTTGAACAGTCACTAAGCGAACTGTTGTAAATCAAGGACTACCTGTACTTTATCACTTTTTTCTGGGTCATCAGGTTTTTGACACCTTGCTAGGCAACCAGTGGCACTCAAATATTCCCATATTCTAAAAGTGTTACAATCGGTGAAAAGGTTGAAAAGCCCTGATCTAGAATGTCTACACACACAGTTTCTTATGTCCCAGTTTGCTTTCTCATAAATATGATGACCTGGAAAAACACAGCTGTAAAAAAATGGGGATCTAGGAGTAGCTAAGTTTAAATGGTACGTTTAAGAAGGAAAGGCCATTGTCCCCACAGTCATACTTTATTTTACAGTGGGTGAATTAGATATAGTTTATGTTTTTCAGTTAATGATTACCACTAGGTGCTTTTGATAACCCAATATAAACAGGCCATGTTAATCAGTTGTAGGAACAAAGACCTCATTCTTGGATTTTAATTTATAAAGTGGCATTTAGAAGAGCTTGGATCCCAAGCAAACAAACAGAAATAGCAAGCAGAGAAACGTGAGAATTGTGGAAAAGCACTGGAGAAAAGTGAGTTTGGGGTTCTTTGTCAAAACTTGCCTACTATTTGGGGAACCGCTTTTTCATGGGAAGAGCTTTTGTGGTGCAGATTGAGTGATTGATCTAATGTAAGGTACAGCCAATAGCTACTCCACTGAAAAGATCATATGGTAGTTAATCTCAGGGTGCTCGTGTTTCAGAGTGAAAGAAACATTCAGTAACTGAGTGGGAGGACAGCTGTTAATGTATCCCTATATCTCAATCTCACTGGGGAGATTTCATCACTTAACTAAACAAACAAGATAGTTCATTGCTCCATTTTATTTACCTGGTATTGTTTTGCAATCTATTGTTAATGTTAAACTGAAAGCCAGGTGAAGTATTCATTGCAAACAGAATGACAACATTAAAAAAAATTGAAGTGTTTAGGAAAAATGCTTCTTCTCTTCTTCCCCTCTCCTCTCCCCACACCTGAGAGGAAAGCAGCTCTCAAGCTAAAAAAAATGTAATTAAAATCAGCAATAAACTCCAATAGAAAGAGTTAAT